AACTACAGTGACAGCAGCATGTTTCTGGGGTGGCTGACCACATGGAGCTGGGAGTGGTGGGTTTTTATATCTTCTTGGGCTTTTGTGTTTAGAGTTGTTCCTGTGGCATGAACTTTGACCTGAGCTTTTGAATGTGTCATTTTGGTATTCTGATGGTGGTGGGTTAAATCTATTATGTCCTAAAGGTCATGTCCTGCTTCCCTGGGGCTGTGGCTGATGGCTATGTCCTGTGTTGGATTTTTTTGGGTGAGATGTTAGTTCTAGGCATCTTTGTCTTTCTAATCCCATCAGCTCCAAGCTTCCTGGCTCCAGTCTTTCTGAAAGGATTATCAAATCTGCATTTCTACAGACCTGGCTTCTGCTTGTGGCAGAGAGACTTGGGCTTGCTTTCTTTTGGATAAATATAATATTCTGCTTTTTAAATATCCCCCAAAATATTTCCTTCTTGGGGAAGGGTTGACTTCCCACATGATCTTTCCCAAATGTGGAGTTGTGCGCTTCTCTCAGCTGTTTTTGTTTGCTTGTTTTTGTTGAAAAGTATCCACTGTAGCTATATTTTTGACCAGCTGTAGTTCTATAACTTTTCTTTCCTGAATCTTCACTTCCTATTCTGAAAAAAGGATCGATTAGTCAACCTATTTTTAATTTTAGAAGTAAATTTTAAACTTACTCTTAAAATAGTTGAGAATAATCATGGAAAATTTGTATTTAAAAATCAGCACTCCTCAATCAATCTTTATTACATCCATAAATAATTAGATAAACACACCCACACATACACACACATATAAATATATGTTGATAATTATGAAAAAGTAAAATAAAAAAATGAATACAGTTCTTCAATGACAAGGAAAGAGGCTGGGCAACCCAGCAGAATCCTGGTGGGGCCGGAGGAGCCACGAAGAGGACAGGAGACCCCTTCTCGTTCAGGAATTTCTTCAGAATGGGATCCACAAAAGACACCCAGGATTCCCCAAAGAGGAAACAGCACTCCTCCACAAAGGGGCAGGCACGGATCAGGGGTTGTTGTTTTTTCTAAACACAATTGCCCTTCCCTCCGCACACTTTCTGCCCAATCCTCCCATCTCTAACCAAAGTCCAGGGGATTTTGCTTTCCCTTCACCAACTCCCAATGGTGCCCACCGACTCACTTCAGCTCCCCCAGGAGGCAGTGCCGCTTTCTTCCCTGGATGGAATCGCTCAGGCGGGCTCCCTCTGGGCTCCCGGGCTTAGGGTAAGCGTTTCATGGTTAACTGGGGCCATGTAATCAGCAGATGGAGGGATGAGTCAATCAGGATTTCTTTGTCTTGCGTTACAGGCAAAGGGCTTCTCGTGCTGCCACATCTCCCTAAAAGCAAATCGCATTCCCGCTCCCACCTACGGCCCTCCAGCCAGAACTGTTGTGATTCCTTCTTTCCATCTCTTTCTATCGCTAGCAAAAGAGTCCAAGAGAAATGAAATAATTCCAACGGTTTCATTCTGTCAAGATCTATTTCTCCTGAAACAGCAGCCATATGTTCAGGGGTGGTATTACAAGTAAATCCTTACCGATTACACTTACGAAGATCAAAGTCACCTCAGGATTTAGCAGCATTCTGGGGATAGTGCAGAGTGCAGCCAGGAGCAGTGATAATAACAGAGGTTTTAGCTAAATCATAAAATACTATTTCTTACTCTTTTTTAGTTCTTGGCATAATGTTGCTTGGCCTGAGAGTGAATGACGTGACAGCCGTGTGCTGTACGTATCTAGCTTTTTAATTAGTCAAGCAAATATTGTAATGAAGCAAATGTCCCTCACTGAAAATGTCCCTCCCGGAAGAAGCGCAGGTGAAGGGCTGGTCCACTGCAAACCCCTTGGCCAGAGAAGAGGCTCCACCCTGACCCTGGGCCTTTCTTCGCCCCAGGACGAAGCGCTTCATGTGAGGGTCTTCTATGCCTTTAGAGCAGGACGTGGTGTTTTTTTTTTGTTTTATCACCAAAGCCCTGAGCTTTGCTCTTCTGGCATTTATCTCACCAAACTTTTTATTTATTTGTTTGTTTATTGGCTTCTAAAAAAGAAAAAAGAAAACAGAAGACCAAACAGAATTGATGAATAAACTGGGTTTTAAGATTGAGAAGAAAGTAAAATATCTGGGTATCTTTATGATAAATACAAATTGTATGTTATTTCAAAATAACTATAATAAGACCTGGAAGGAAATTATAAAGATGTTTGTGATAGTGGCGAATATCTGTAGCTCAGGCGGAGGATGAGGGTGGAGGTTCGTTCTCTGAGCTTGTGTTTCCGATCGTTTTGTTACCAGGCTGAGCAACACCTTCAGCGGAGTTTAGGGGATGTCGGTGTCGGTGTTCTGCTGCTTATAAGGGCTATAAGCCCTTCATCATCATCATCATCCTAGCCATTGTCTATCCACTGCAGGATGAAGGCCTCTTCCGCATGTTTCCAACCAATACAGTCCTGGGCTTCCTTTTGCCAGTTGGGCCCGCCATGCTTAGCTGATGTTGTTGCTCCATCTTGTTTTAAGTCTCTTTCGTGGAGGCTTTTGATCAAGTGGCATCTGTTCCAGGACCACCTTGGTCCACCTGCCCTCAGTTCTTCTTCCTATGTGACCATTTCAGTTCTTTTACTCTCTTGGATGGCATCATATACTTTAGTTTGTTCTCTCATCCATCTTTCTGTCTTGTCTTGTAATGCCAAGCATGTATCTTTCCATGGCTCTTTTGTACCGATTGTGAGGGCCGTGTCCATGGTTCATTGGCATATGTTAGAACAGGCAGCATATGTTGATCGGAAGCTTTTCAGGTATGGGGGAGGTTGTTCTTGAAAATTACACTTAGCTTGCCAAATGCCTGCCAACCACATTTAACACACCATTCAATTTCCTTTATTCTATCATCTTCCACTGAGATCCGTTGGCTAAGGTATATGTAGTGGTCTACTACATCTAGTTTTTCTCCAGATATATTTTTTTTCTTTCTTTGGTGAATTTATTAAACATAACCTGGCTCTTTTTCAGGTTTATTTTTAAGCCAAAGGTTCTTCTGCTTTGTGCAGCTTTTGTATGTGCTTTTGTAACTCTTCTGGGTCTTGTGAGAAAAGAATGACATCATCTGCAAATCTTGTGATTTAAATAGGTGCCATTGATTTTTATTCCAATATTTTGCCCTGTCTAGTTTGCAAAATACTTCTTCAAGACAGGCTGAGAAAAGGATAGGTGATATTGTATCACCTTGTTGTACACCTCGTTTATGTTGATTTCCACTTTAAGGTCATTAAGGCAAATTGTCACCAATTTTTTCATATATTGATTTTAATAAGTTTATGTAACCCCGGCTGAGCAATGCATTAGTATATTGCTTGCTGGAATACTGAGTCAAATGCTTTTTGTAGTCAATGAAAGCCATGCACAGAGACATGTTGTACTAGTGCCTTTCAATGAGTTGCTGACTAACCTGGATGTGATCCATTGTGCTGCAGCCACTTCTGATCTCTGCCTGCTCCTATGGCTATGCATCATTTAATGTTCTCAATATTCTTTTTGCTATTATTATTTTTTTTTTTTTTATCACTAACTTCTATGCCGCCCTTCTCCCCACGGGACTCAGGGCGGCTCACAGCATGTTAAAAAACAACACAAAAAACATTTCCCCTATAAAACCAATTAAAAACCAAATATATTAATGGCTGTGTCATTATTAAAATCTTTAAAAATTATTCCCTATTTAAAATTATCTTGATGAAAACCTTGTACATGACTAAAAGAAGTCTTATTGGGCAATAATTCTTTAAATCATCTTGGGCCTCTTTCTTGTGTATAAGAATCACTTCAGCATTTTCCCAAGCATTTGGATATTTTTTCTTCTCTGAGGCATCTTGAATATAGTTTTACTAGTATCTTGTGTAAAGTGTGACCACCAACTTTCAGCATTTCAAATGTAACACTGAAGCTTTGTCATTTTTCATTGATTTTATGGCGCTTGATACTTCCTCCACTAGGATATTTGGCATTTCCTCTTTTGTGGTGTTGTTACTTTTGAGTAATTTTGATCTTTGTATAGCTCTGAACAGAATTTTCCAATTATTTCTAATATTTCCTGTCTCGTTCTACACAAAGAGCCATCTTCACATTTTAATACAAGAACCTTTTTTCTTATATTTATAATCCCTTATAACCAGAAGAACACCGACACTGACATCCCCTAAATTCTGCTGAAGATGTTACCTAGCCTGGTAATGAAACATTTGAAAACCAACCCACAAACTCACAGAACGAACCTCCACTCTTATAAAGATGTGTTAAGATGGTTTACAATTGTCACTGCTGAAGAGAATTTCAGTGACAAAAATGAATGTCCTATATAGAATGTTTTTGTTTTAGACAATATCTGTCTGAACATTCTTTTTGTTGTTGCAGCTGCCAGTATTACTAAATAAGGCACTACGAGGGCTCTTTTATGTCAATGGAACATAAACATTGTTAATTATTTTAAACTGCTAACAACACATTCATTTTAATCTAGAAGTCAGATTTCAACCGCTTACTGAAACGTTCTAACAACCTAATTGTATTTATTTTTGTTTACTGTATCCAGATTAGTCACTTGAATTATTTAAAATCAAGTACAGTTTGATCCAGATTCTAGTAGACAGCATCTGATTCAGAAATTAGTGAATTGCAGCATTATGAAAACATAACAAGTGGCCAAATCACAATTTGTTTGCAGAAGGCTGTTGCAGTGGTTTCATAAGGTGATTGCTGTATTACAGAACAAAGCTGCACCCTGCTACATGCCCTCCAGTTTAATAAGATTAAAGACTTAGAACTAGATTTAAAGATTAGTGTCAGCTAAAATGGATATTCAGTCTCTCTGACTTAATATTCACTTCTGAGACCAAGTAGGAAGAACCTACATTTCTCACAGTCAGTAAATTGTTTTGAATTTATCTGCACTTTTCTAACAGCATGAAAATAATAATAAGAAATGTATTGTTCGGAATGGCACTTATATTTGGTAGCATCCATACTGAGAGTGTCTCACACTCCATCCTGGTACTGGACATGGCCAAGATTCTGTTGGATAATTATTGTTTTCCAGAAAATCTGGTGGGAATGCAGGAAGCCATTGAACAAGCCATCAAGAGTGGGGAGACTTTGGATATCTCAGATCCTAAAATCTTGGCAACAGCTCTGACAGCTGGACTTCAAGGAACTTTGAATGATCCACGGCTGGTAGTATCTTACGAAGCTTTGGCTCCTTCAGTCCCTGAGAAAGAAGCGGATGCTTCTCTACCATTAGAAGTACTTTTAGAGGTTATCCAGCATACAGTCAAATCTGAAGTGCTGGGTGACAATGTAGGCTACTTAAGAATAGACTACATCGTCGGGGAGAACATTGTGCAGCAAATTGGTGCTTTCCTGGTAGAAAAGGTGTGGAAGCCCTTGATGGAGACATCAGCTCTGGTCTTAGATCTGCGTTACACCACTGGAGGGAAGATCTCGGGCCTTCCATTTGTTATCTCCTATTTGTACAATGAGGACAAACTGCTGCACGTGGACACTGTCTACAACCGGCCTTCTAACAGCACTGTGGAAATCTGGACCTTTCCGAAAGTGCTGGGCATGAGATATGGTAAGAACAAGGAAGTCGTTTTGCTGACCAGTAAACACACCTCTGGGGTGGCCGAAGATGTGGCTTATATCCTCCAGCAAATGCACAGGGCCATCATAGTGGGTGAAAGGACAGCAGGAGGCTCCTTGGACCTCCGGAAATTGCAGATTGGGGCTTCCCAGTTCTACATGACTGTTCCTGTGTCGTGTTCTATGAGCCCCTTAAGTGGCGGTGGCCAGAGCTGGGAACTGAGTGGGGTAATGCCAAGCATCGCCGTTCCAGCAGAGCGAGCCCTTGGTGATGCTCTGGCCATTCTGTCCTTTCGCAAAGCGATTCCTGACAACGTCAGTCACTTAATGCACGTCTTGCAGAACAATTACTCAATAGTTGAACAGGTTCCAGCTTTACTTCAACGACTCTCTGCATTCGATTATTCAGCCATCCTGTCAGAAACAGATCTGGCTTTCAAACTAAATACAGAATTGCAAAGCATAGCTAAAGACCCACGACTTTTCTTGTGGACTACCACAACTGGTGAGGCTACGGTTATGGCAGCTGAAGAGCCCATGGACATGAACACAGAGCTGCCGGATGGCGAACAACTCAAACAAATCCTGGCTGCTGTTTTTCAAGTGTCAGTGCTATCTGAAAATGTAGGTTACCTGCGTTTTGATCAATTTCCCGATGCTGGAGTGCTGATCAAGCTGGAGCCCTACATCATCAATCAAGTCTGGGAACCTTTGCAGGCAACAGATTATTTGATCATTGACCTGCGCTACAACCATGGTGGACCATTTTCAGATGCTGTACCAGTCCTATTATCTTACTTCCAAGATCCCTCTGCTGGTCCTGTGCATTTGTTTACCACCTATAACAGACTCACAAACCAGACCCACATTTACAACAGTAGAGTTGAATTGCTAGGCAAGCCCTATGGGACTCAGCGTGGCATCTATTTACTCACCAGCCATTTCACAGCTACAACGGCGGAGGAGTTTGCCTACCTGATGCAATCCCTCGGCCGGGCTACTCTGATTGGTGAAATTACTGCCGGCAGCCTGGCCCACTCACACCCCTTCTGCATACTCAGGTTAAAAGAAGAGGAAGGCTGCAGCCTCTTTATCAATGTGCCATTTGTCACCTTCATTGATCACCATGGTGAATATTGGCTGGATGGCGAAGTGGTGCCTGATGCCATCGTGCTGGCCGATGAGGCTCTGGAGAAAGCCCGAGAAGTGTTGGCATTCCACAGAGAGATGGGAGCGCTGATTGAGGAGCTTGGGCTGTTGCTTGAAGCTCATTACGCCATACCAGAGGTGGCCACGCGGGCAAGAGGCATATTAAACTCCAAGCTGGCTCAAGGAGGCTATCGCACAGCAGTGGATTTTGAAATGCTTGCCTTGCAGTTGACCACTGACCTTCAAGAAGCTTCTGGGGATCACCAGTTGCATACATCTTACAACCATGTGGAAACTTTCTTACAAGAACAGCTTCCCAACAAGACTCTGACCCCCGAGGAGATCCGTTACATAATTGAGGATCTGTTCAAGGTAGACATTTTGCCTGGCAATGTAGGATATTTGCGCTTTGACTTGATGGCTGAAGCAGAGATGGTGAAGGCCATTGGACCCCAACTGTTGCATATTTGGGACAAGCTTATGACCACAGATGCTATGATTGTTGACATGCGCTACAACACGGGCAGTTATTCCACCGCAGTGCCCATCTTTTGTTCCTATTTCTTTGACAGTGAGCCCCAGCAGCACCTTTACACGCTCTTTGACCGCAGCACCACTCGAAGCACGGAAGTGTGGACCTTGCCACATCTCTCTGGCAAACGATACGGCTCGGCGAAGGATATCTACATCTTAGTTAGCCATGTGAGTGGATCGGCAGCTGAAGCCTTCGCTCGCTCTCTGAAGGATCTCAGTCGGGCCACAGTCATTGGGGAGCCCACGCTGGGAGGCTCGTTGTCTGCAAGTGTTTACCATTTGGGCAGCAGCCCCTTGTACGCTTCCATCCCCAGCAAGGTGGTGCTGAGCCCCGTCACGGGCAGAGTGTGGAGCCTCTCTGGTGTACAGCCGCACGTCACCAGTCAGGCTTCAGAAGCCATGACCTCCGCCCTGAACATCGTTGCTTTGCGCTCCAGCCTCCCCAGCATTTTGCAGACGGTGGGCAAACTGGTGGCTGACAACTACGCTTTTGCTGATGTTGGGACTACGGTGGCAGACAAACTTTCCGATGATGCCAAAAAAGACACATACCGGAAGATCAATTGTGAAATGAAACTTGCTGAAAAAATTGCAGCTGACCTAAAAGCACTTTCTGGAGATAAACACTTGAAAATAACCCATGTTCCTGAGCACCCACGCAACCATATTCCAGGGATCACGCCCATGCAAGTAAGTGCCCGTTAACTTGTTTCATTAGCCACTGACATAAAACTTGTGTGAATGGAGTTCATATTTACTATGGATGGGATAAATCCCTTTGAATTTGCCTCAAGAACTGGATTTGTTCAAGTAACACCTCCTAAGTTTCCACTGTAACACCTCAGTTAATATTATTTAGTTTACTCTGTGTTTGTTACATTATTTTATTATTGCTTTCCCTGTGTAGCTTTGTTTTTTGTTTTTATGTCTTTCATATTTTTAGCAAAATGAAAACTAGGTCAGGCATTTGGAAGCTAAGTTAATCAAGTAAGTATCATAGTGATTTATAGATTTTACTATCATAACTGTATTTATAAATAACTATTTAGCTCCATGAATTTTAGTCTCACTTTTACTCCAATTATAGAATTGGCAATAATGCATTCTTTTCTATTTTTTCTCACACTTATTCACTTATAATCTCGAGTGTACAGGTGTAATCTTTTAGATACTGAGCGGGGGGTAACCATACTCTTGTAGTTTTGTCCTAATACTCTCATTGTGTTATTAATATTTTATCTCACAGTTCAAATCTTATGCTTCAACTTGCAACTTTATTTGTGTTATGCTGATGCTTAACTGAGTTATAAATTGAAATTACAGTTGCACAGCTTAACAGGTTTGTATAGTATTACATTTTGATTTTGTTTTTAATCAGTATTCCGTTAAAATAAAATTCTTGCTGTAAATATTTTAAAAATTATAAAATAATTTTAACCGACTTGTCCCAGAGAGCTCAGTGTGACTAGTTCCTGATAACCATTTCATTAAAATACAGATTAGAAAAGACATTAAATAGATAAACTTTAGTTTGAGTGATTTCCATTTATTCATTCATTCATTCATTCTTGTCATAGTGCTGTGATGTTGACTAAGGAATATTGACTAATTTGAGTGAAGATTTCAGTCCAGATCACCCCAACTCTCTATTTGCAAGATGTGATTTTAATGCAAGGTGGATTCTCATATTTCTCATGTATTCTTGAAAATTACTTATTTTTAAAAAATATTTCAGATTCTTTCCCCAGAAATGTTAGAAGACCACATTAAGTTTTCTTTCCAAACCAAAGTGTTCGAGAATAACATTGGTTACCTCAGATTTGATACGTTTTGGGACAGTGACCTTTGGCCTCGGTTCTCTGAGCTGATGGTGGAAAATGTCTGGAAGAAGGTGGTCCACACGGAAGCACTAATCCTTGACATGAGGTAAACCATCCACCCTAAGCAGAATAAGCAATGAAGATAAAACTTTTGAAATATATGTTTTGCTGCAAAGGTACTTGTCAAATTCCTGGGCCCAACATAATTGCAGTCTATGTTGAGAGGCCATCATTGACCAGATTATGAGCTATGTATTCCTTGCAAGAGGAATCTACCCTTCGAGATAAATGCATGGATGGAGGTTGGGTACTGGGATGGAGGTCATAATGTCAATACACCCCAAATTTGACCTCTTGGGATCTATCCAAAAATATGTGTGATCGAGGTACAGAACCTCCAATCTCTTGAATTTGAAATAAATCAGTGGGAAGATGCAGCAATGTTTTCCTCGGTGCAGTTGCGGCCCTTCACAAAGCACAAACCCAGCCCAATCAGGATATTTGATGTTACAGCTGGTTTCTAGAAAGCCTTTTTATCAATATAAAACATAGGTTGAACGGCAGAAGCCACGTCTCCCTCGACGTCTTTTTTCTGGGCCCATGAAAAGCGCTACAGCCTTAGCCCGCCTGGTTCAGCCACTTTTATTATTAGACTTCAAAAAGGTTTTGGTATTTTCTCGTAAGGACGTTGCAACAGTTCAGAACCACTAGGGACCCTTTGGGCTTCCATGGCATCAGCTGAAATCTGACAATTTATTTCTCCCAAAGCAATACTTGAATAATAAAACTAATTACTTTTTTATTAAGTGATGTGGTTTTGTAGAGCTTCTAGGTCAGGGGTAGGCAACCTCGGCTCTTTTATGACTGGTGGACTTCAACTCCCAGAATTCCTGAGCCAGCGCTGCATGCTGAGGGGAAAGGGAGAGGTTTCCAAGCTGAGCCGTGCTGGCTCAGGAATTCTGGGAGTTGAAGTCCACCAGTCATAAAAGAGCCAAGGTTGCCTACCCCTGTTCTAGGTAGATCACGAAGTCTTGCTTTGTCCTGCATTCCAGATTTCTAAATCTTTCTAGTGTATCTATGGCTTGATGAATTTTTTACAGGCAATTTTTTTAAAAAAATCAGACAAAACAGAAGAACAGAAATGGGGAAGTGTGATGCAAACAGCTATTTTAACTGGAGTTGGGTTACGAGATCTGGGCTAGAAAAATTCATATGACTGTTATATGGAATCAAAGAGTTAGAAATTTTCTGTCTGTTAGGGATTGTTATGGCTGCCACTTAGGGCAGTCAAGACGGTTTTGCTCTTTGTTCTGAGCATTTCAAGATATGATTGTGGATCATTTTCAAACGGCTTCGGGGGGATCAGAGACTAGAAGTTGTGATAAGGTAGGGTTGCCTAACGTCAGGTTTCCTCATCAGTGCCTGCTTCCCAAAATGTCTTCCATGCCTAACCAGGTACAACACCGGAACGGGGCCCGTCTCCTCTGTGGCAACTCTGTGCTCTTACTTCTTCGATGAAGGACATCCAGTTCTACTGGACAAAGTCTACTACAGACCCAATAATACTCCCAGTGATCTTTGGACTCTTTCCCAACTTTTAGGTAACAACATTTAAAGTTGTGAATGTTAGTATTTATCTTTACCTACTGCACATTGTAGCTAAAGATAGCACTTCAATCTATTAAACTATTGCAGACATGGGTCATGGGCTGGCAAAACCCCAGAGCAAAATCATTGACGGGCACAGAGACACAAAGCCAGCTCAGCCATATCTAAGCACCAGATCCCTAGAACAGGGGTCTCCAACCACCGGTCCGTGGACTGGTACCGGGCCACAGCATGCCAGTAACTGGCCCGCACAAACAAGCAAAGCCTCATCTACAGGATGCAGGCAGCACACAAAACCACGCACTCTCCAGTCCATGGAAAAATCTTTCTTCATGGAACTGGTTCCTGGTGCCCAAAAGGTTGGGGACCTCTGCCCTAGAACCAGGGCCCGCCATGTGAGGCAGGGTCCAAGGTGAAGACTGTGGAGAGAGGCCTCAGAGACAGTCCGACACATAGTGCCCGGGTGTCAGATGAATTGCAGTTAAGTGAATCATGTGGTCGTTAAGCGAATCTGGCTCCACTTCGCTTGTCAGAAAACAGCTGGAAAAGTAGCAAATGGGGATCGCACAACCCCAGGATCATGCGATGCCTATCAGAGGGATATTAATTTTAATATGGGTTCTGATCAAATTTACTATCCGGTGAGACTGTTGTGATTTTCTGCATCTTCTCCTGTCTCTTCAAGGTCAGAGGTACGGCTCCGGGAAGAGCGTGGTCATTCTCACCAGCTCTGTGACCGCTGGGACTGCTGAACAATTTGTGTCCATCATGAAGAGGCTGGGCAGAGCCTTGATCATCGGACAAAGGACCAGTGGGGGTTGCCTCCCTCCTCAGACGTTTCATGTGGATGGGACTGGCCTCTATGTCACCATCCCAACTTCTAGATCCACCATTTCTTCTGAGGACTCTTGGGAGGGTGTCGGAGTGGATCCTCATGTGGCGGTTCCCATTGAGAAATCTCTCATCCAAGCCAAAGAGATTCTTGTTTCCCACCTCCATAGTCTGAGTTAGATTAGCAGATCAAACCAGGAGTCTGCATGAAGGCAAAAGGGCATCCAGTTCCCTTCCCTTGAGACTGCATTTCGGCCTTGTAAATTCATGCCAGACATCACATCATTCTAGGTCTTCTAAAATAGTTAAAATATAGAAGGTGAAAGAGGAAAGCAAGAAGTATTCGTCCATCCTCCTAATTCCAGACTGTATTTCAGAATATAACTTGAAATCCCCAATCCCTAGAATATATATATTTTTTTTAAGTTTTAAAGAGAAGATACAAAGTAACAAAAACTAATATAGAATAAAAAGAAAGAAAGAAAAGACAAATGTGCAGGAAAAAAGAAAAAGGAATAGAAAGAGGCAGCTTCTGATTCTCTTTGCAGCAAATGGTTACATAGTTATCTCTAGTTGTAAAAAGAAAAAGCTAAGTTTATCTCTTTTTTTTTCTAATCCTCAAAGTCACCAATCATAAGTGCATTTTTTCCTGTGTCATGCAAAACCTCCATCGGGTGTCCAATCAGCCATAAATGCAGATGTGGTCCTTTCTCTGATCCAGGAAGTCAATTTAGCCATCTCTGAAAGTCCCGTTGTCTTCACGTTCCTTCCTTAATGGATAGTGCTGAAACTGTCCACTTTTGAGCATATAATAATCTCGCTGCAGTTGGCACTCTCTGTCTTTTTTTCTAGCTGTGTATCTATTAGTTCCAAAAATAAAAGCCTCTGGTTTCAACTGTACTTTTAAAATCTTCTGAATTAGCCTATGTGTTTGCATCCTTTGGGGGGGGGGGGAGGCTTGTTTCCATGGGTACCAGACATGATAAAACGGCCCTACAGGCTATTCACATTTCCAGCATAAATCTGAAGTACCTTTATAGATTCTTGACAATTTCTTTGGCGTCATACACCAATGGTACATCATTTTATAGAAATTATTTTTAAGACCGGAATGTAAATTTCAATCCTTATATTTTCCCATTGATCTATTTGTATACTGTAACCAAACTTTTTAGCCCATTTTATCATATATTTCTTCTGTCTCAAATTTCAACAAAAGTTTACACATTTTAGCAATAACATGTTCATTATTTGTACATAACTGTCAGCACAATCTCTGCGTTCTAGCCTGATGCTTAACCACTAGACCAAATTGGCTAGTGCAATATATATTTAATATGGTACAATATATGTTTATATATAGTGCAATATATATTTATATATAGTGCAATATAAATGGTGCAATATACTCATTTTTGTAATGAACAAAATTGTTGATGTCACTTCAAAAGGCTTTGGACTAAATGGAGTAATTCTTTGCCTGCCATGCCTCAGAACAGATGTCAGTTACAAAAGTAAGATAAAATGCAAATAAAAGCACATTCCATTAGTATTTGACCATTGAATACCTATTACAATAGTTGTACAACTTTGTTTCAGACTTATGCTAGAACAAATATCTTTACAATCTCGATAGTATAAAAATATATGGAATAAAACCATATTTATATTTAGAATACTGATACCCAACCCAGTTCTTAAATATAACTTGAGAGGGTAAAATTGCTCCCTGAAATTGGTACTTGGAGGCAAGCTGTCACCCATTCAAAGATAATCTTGACCTTTATGTCGCTTGTGCTATCCATAATTCACAATGTGGCTGAAAAATTAGGAGTGGTTGGGAGTGGTTTAATTTGGACTCCTGCACTGGATTGGATGCCCCAAAGGGATACCTCCTGCTTCTCTTATTCTCATCACTGTGCTCTCTTTCGAAAGCTTGCAGACAATTTGTGGGTGTGAACTGGGAAGCTGGCACTTCCATCCTCACCTGTTCAGTCCCGGTTGAGATACTCCCCCCCCCCCGCCCTCCCGCCCTGCTTGTTACTGTGTGGTGCAGCACTGTGGCACAACTGAAGAAGAGCATTTTATCACACCAGTAAAATGACATGGATTTGCTCTGATGGTCATTAGGAGTCAAGCTTAACTTTAAAGAAATTTTATCCTTTACTTCCATCCTAGGGAAGAATTTCATTCCACAATGGCTCTGGTATGGAAAAAGTTGCTGCTTCAAATTACTAAAGAAAAAAAAAAATCAACATTTTCATAGTTTAGGTTGAATAAAATGGATCTTCAGAAAGCAAAACTTTTCTCTTTACATCTCACTGTTTATTTCCTTATAAGTGTATTTGCAGAGTTTCATTTTCAGAACTGGAGCTATCTGGAGCTTGTGTAATTACATTTATTCTGAACGCTTCTACAACAGGCTGTCTTTCGAAGATTCTGGTTAAATGCAGTAAAAGCACAATGGAATTCAACCAACACGTGCACACAAACATATCCAACAAGCAGACATCCATTACATCACATTACATCCATTACATTACAGCTACAGGCTAGTTGTGAGAAGTCATGTGCCGAGATAAGTGATGCCTTTCTCGAAAATATTCCTGGCAAACAGGGCAGGACAGCTTTTCCTCCCGTCTCCTTTTCCTCTGGGGTTCTGTCGAGACTTCTACCTTTTTGTGATGGGAACGCATGTGCAGCACAAGGTCTGCTGTCATGTGGAAGGAAAGGCTGCACTTGGCACACCAGTTCTGGGCTGCCACACCGAGAGGGGCGAGAGTGGAAGGCAGCAGAGCCCAAGAGGCAGAGGAAGCAGGGGTGGCCGGCGTTCGCTCGCCTGCTTCCTTTGGCCACGGGGCCGAAGAGAAAGAGAAGGGGTTGCCCCGGATGGGGTTGGTCGACAGCAGCTGGAAACCGTCTGAATCACTTACCAGGAACCCAGAAGCGAGGCGGCCACTGTACGGTATGAGGTCAGTGGCACCGAGGCATTCCGGCAACTTCCTTGGGCTTCCTTCCTTGATACCCTTCAGAGGTCGAAAAGCAGCTGGAGCCCCTCCATCTTCCCGGCACTTGGCTGGTTTGCTGAAAGCACTTTTGGGTTCCCCAGCAATGCTATTGGGCCACACAACGGAGAATGCACTGCCAGGGGAACTCCGGACTGCAGCTTTGTCCGAACCAGCCTTCCTATTTCCTTGTTCTGCCTCTTTGACTTTCTCTACAGGCCTCCTCACTTCAGTGAACGCACTCTCCTTCGGTCGCAGCAGCACCTCCTCGACTAATAAGTGCTTCCTGATACCGAACGTCCAGCAGGGTTCCCTTAAGACGTGCTCCGCTGCGGTTCTTCCATCCTTGATCTCGCCGTAGGATGCTTCCTCCTGTAGGCAATTTGCTTTCTCAAACAAGGTAGGTTTCCCGTTCTGACAGCTCTCCGTTTCATGGCTGTTCATTCTCCTCCCTTCAAAGGAAGTGACCACTTTAAACTTAAAGTCCCTAGACAAACCATGGAAATTTGTGGATTGTTCCATAAATCTGCTTTTCACCATCTTTGGAGGAAAAACCTTTCTTCAGAGCTGAACCCTGTTCTTCAGAAAGCGGAGGAAATGAGCAAGAAGGCACCGGGAGGCTTTCTTGAAATCTGGACAATCGAGTTCTAGAACAAGAGAAATCAAATAAATATAATCAATGGAACAGACTCTTGGTTGGGAGAAATTTAGTAACCAAACCAAGAGTGACCCTTGATGACCTAGAATTAACATTCTGTTTTGCAAAACCATTAAAACAGCTTCTCCAGAGGCCTTGAGCAAAGGATATGTGCAAATGTTGCTGGGAATTGTTGCAGGGACATGCAGCACTGAATCTCATACTGGAGGCAATGTTTATTTTTATTATTTTTTAATTAAACAAATTTATATAGCTGTCTAATACAGACATTGGTGACTCAGGTACAACATTTTAAAAATCTACTGCATAATAAAAGAACATAAAAAGGGGGGGATTGCATGGAGCCTTCCCTCACACACAACCCCCGTCCCCCTGCACTTCTTCCAAACACATTCTCAGAATCAAATCTAAAGCTCTGCACTAGTGTTGTGTTTCCTCTGACCCATCCTCGAGGGAAAAAATACAGGAATAGAGGGGAAGATAATGAAGTTTGACCATGGATATTAGCAGAAAAGGAAAAACAGAAAACTCAAAACTTCTGGATTCCTTGGAACTTAGAGCAGCAGGCAATCTGCTGCTGTCAGGATGAACACAAACACATTTTCAGGAAAAAAATAAAATAAATCACAAAAATCACTCAATGCAATGCCCCATCAGGCATTTTCTCACCTATGCTGCATCTTGCCTACATTTCCAGCAAATCCTGTCATAGTCCTTAATTCCTTTCTGGCAGCATCCAAAAAACTATAGGGCAGTATGTATTTCTATGGCATTCGCATTTCCTTTCCTCCATAGATGAATTTCCAGAGGTGCCTACTGAGAAGTACACATTCTAAAGAGAGCTTTAAAGAAACAACAAACTTTATTTTATATGCTCAGTTGAAGATAATTTCAGAAATAGTTTTAACATTAATTTGTAGTGTAATCCTATCTATATTTTCCCAGAAGTAAAATCAGTTTATTGGCTGTCATACTAACCTTAAATGGTTTTTCCAATAACCTATCATAATTTAGCACATTTTTTCCAACAATAAAACTTCTACTCTGTTCATGCTTTCTTTTTCAATAATTAGTCCCATTATGTTCCTTAATCCTTGCATGTTATTAGACAGAAGCCTAATGAACTTCGATAAGAGGTGAATACTGTAATGAGCACGGTTAAAAAAAACTGCAAGAAAATACGTTAATAGTCCAAAAGCACCCAATAGCTTCTGCTGGACTGTTTTCTACTAATTCCAATTTTCACGCATCGATGACGTTCAGATTCAAGAGCAGAACGTCAGCAACTCGGGTTAGTCTTATTATGATTTTATCACGACTTTTTATAAAGTATATAATTCAAGGCGGCAAAGATTGCTAACATTCCGGCCCCTTATTTTCGCTACACAACAACCCTGCGAGGCGGTTGAGCCGAGAGAGGGACCGGCCCAACTAACCCGCGAAGCAGGGCTGCGGGACCGCGAGAGAGGAGCGGCGGAAGCGTCGCCCGAGTCCGGGAGGCGCTGGGCTTCCCCCACGTCGACCCTCCCCGGCCGAGCGGCTCCCCTCCTACCGCCCCGGCCCTCCCGCACAGCCCCCAGCCCCGCGTCCCACCTCCTCCTCCTCCCCCGGCCACCCCCGCCTGCTCGTCCGGCAGGCCGACCTCGCCCGCGCCCTACCTGCGGAGGAGAGGCCGCTCCGTCCCGCGCAGGTGGACCCGCCGAGTGCGCCGCCCGGGAGCGCTCGCCGCGCGCGGGGGAGTGGAGAGCCGGGCGGGGGGGGCGGCGGGCAGGACTCAGCCTGGACTAAACTAGGCGGGGCGCCGCGAGCTTTGCGGGGGGTGGGCGAGGGCGGGAGTGCGGAGCCCCCGCCCCAGCCCGGCCGAAAGAGGCGCAGCCGAAAGGCAGAAGCGGGGGAGAAGGGCGGGCTGCCCCCGAGCGGTGACCCCGGTCGGGAAGCCCCGCGCGGTCCGGCATCAGCTCGCAGGCAGGAAACTTTTGCGGCGGAGCGAGCGCCTCTCCTCGGCTGTGGGGGCCCAGGAGGAGGGGCGGGCTGGGGCCCCGAGAGTCGCCCTGCGGAGCCCCGGATTCCTCCCAGTGGGGCTTTCTAAAGTCTCCGCGGCAGGTGCCCCGGAGCCTCCGGGATCAGCGGCGCTCGGCGGAGCTGCCCTCGAGAAGGGTCCCCGCTTCGACGTCTGCTTCGGGGAGCCTCTCGCCCGGTGCGTCCGGAGAGCGCCAGGGTCGCAGCGATTTCTAGCGCTCGGCCGTTCTCCCCCCTCGGCTGCCTAGAGCGACCTTTCTCGGGCTGGGAGCGTGGAGACGTCTGGCAGGGGAATTCTGGAAGTTGAAGGTCCCCCCTCCCCCTCCCCCTCCCCCCGGTCTTAAAGCTGCCGAGGTCGAGAAGGGCTGGCCTGGGCGAAGGGACGCGGGGGGGGGGGTCCTTTCCCGAGCGCCGCCTCGGGCTCTCCTCCCTCGGACCACAGCGTGGACGCCTCCAGGCCGCCGCTTTTCTGCCCGGCCTCCTCGCGCTTTTGTCTCCATTTCAACCGCTTTTGTGACTGTCCGAATACCCAGCTACCACGGGTGTGTGTGTGTGTGTGTGTGTGAGAGAGAGAGAGAGAGAGAGAGTGAACCGGTCTCCATCATAAACCACCAGGAGCAGCTAGATCTGCTCCGCTCCTTTGGCCCCTTTCGGAGAGCAGCTGCTTGGCTTCCATCCAGACCTCTGCCCGCTCCCCGCTGCCCGCTGCCCGCTGCCCTCTGCCGCCCAGCCGCTTGCGAGCGCTCCCCTTTGGCGCAGCGGTGGTGGAGGCAAGCCCGAAAGGCGGCAGATGGGCTCCGTTGGCGGTTTCGTCTCTCGGCCCGTTGCTGGGAGTTTGCGATTTCCGCTGGCCAAGAGTTGAACTGGCCCCCATTCTTGGCTGCTGCTGCTGCCTTGAGGTGGGCGCGCCGTTTGGCCCACTCCGAGGGCTTCTGATCACCGTAGCTGCTGCCCAGTTAGCACCAGTTGGAGATGGTTTGCTCCTGGTCGCTTCCTTCTGCTTCAACTCCTATCAACCCAAATGATAACTCAGAGTGTGGAGGGGAGGGGAGCACCCACAATGCTTGCAACCTTAACAGTGGCCAAAAAAGCCCTTTAAAGCACCCACCTCCCTGCCCCACTGTACATTAAGAATGGTTTGTTGTGACACTCACTGCGAAGGAAAATTAAATCAGGGAATTCACCAGTTCTTATATCTTGTCCTGGGTTCAAGTTGCAAGAGCAGCCCTTTGGCGGTGCCCATCACTCCATCTAGTTCTCCTCTGGACATTCTTCCTATCTGGTTGAGAGAATGCAACACAGACATTTTTTGGAAACAATCAAGAAGCAGCAGAAAAGCCAGGGAATCTATTACATCCTCCCCATGCAAGTGGAGCAGCAAAATTAAGCTTGATTATACTATGAGTTTGTTAATATTTATGTGAGTTTTTATAATTTATTCCCTCTCCTCCTCTCCCTTATATCAGCTGAGAGAGTGGAGAAATTCAGATTCTCACTACCAGGAACCCTTTAGCCCTTCAGAAAAGCTGGCATTTTCTGGGCTTTTCTGCAAGGATTGGAGGGTGGGGATTTGGTTTGACTGCTGAGTTTCACAGCCAATCCTGCCTCCAGCCGGACTCTGTCCTGGGCTCCAGGCTGGCTTTGTCCTAAATGAGTTTTCTTCTCCCACAACGGCCTCTTTTCCCTCTCTCCTGTGAAAAAGACCTCCCCCCCCCCAAAGCCAGATAGAGTCTCTTGGTAGCAGGAGCACAGGTGCAGTCCACCTGAGTCAGCTGCTTCAAAATGCCAGAGGGGAAAAAAAACAACAACCTGGGAGAGAACTGCTCATAAAGAGGCTGCAAAGCACTCCTTTCACCAATGACAGGACCTTGCAATTCCTGGGCAGGCATGTGTTAAAAAGTTTCAAATGGATTTCAATCCTTTCACATTAAAAAAGGAAAATTGCACGGTCATAGTTTGACAATTGATGTGATGCAGCTTGCAAGTACTAGAGAGCAGGGGGAAAAATGGCATAAAGTACCACATACTTTGTGGAGCTACTCCACTTCTGAACTATTCAACAGATGGAAACTAATCAAGGAGAGAAGCCACCTGGAACTAAGGAGATATTTCCGGAGAGTGAGAACAATTAGTCAGTGGAACCACTAGCCTTCAGAAGTTGTGGGGCCCCCCATCACTGGAGCTTTTTAAAGAAGAGACTGGACAGCCACTTACTTGTCTGAAATGGTACAGGGTCTCCTGCCTGAGCAGGGGATTGGACTAGAAGAGCTCCAAGGTCCCTTCCAACTCTGTTATTCTGTTATTCTTCAAAAGATTTTAATCCAGACTGTGCATGTGGCATCCACCAGCATCTCCCACGGACTGAACTAGCTCCTAATTAAACAAGTTCAAGTTTCATCCCACTTCAACAAGCGCCTAACAACCATTGTATCCCACATAATTACATGCCCCATTCACATATGCATGAAGCACCTCTGGAGCACCAGCTGTCAGACAGCACGAGGCCTTGGAATGCTTGCCTTAAAGATGCGGGCTGTGACTGTGGTAGGAAAGCAAATGAAGGGATGTTTCACATGGAACATTCCCTTTTCTCCTTTAAACGGGGTCCAATGACAGCTCTAAAAATGATCGTAATAACTGAAGAATTTTGCTCTATCATGGAAATCATTGAGAAATTCACATGTGAACTGGATGTATTAGATTATATTTGCAAGTAGTGTCTGGTGCTAATTTTTAATTCTTTCATCATAAGCATTCGGTGGAAATAATTTATGGATGTGTATTGCAAATGATTTTTGGCACAGCTGGTACACAAAATATAACCATCAAATGTCTTGTCACAATCTAATAGCCCTGAACTGGG